TTTATGGTAGAAGCAGAAATGGTTGAAACGGAAAATGCTGGTTATAAAGGGTGGTGACATATTTGCAGGAGGTCGTCCGATGCATTAGAGTCACCTTTTTTGCATACTGTTCTTTTTGCAACGCACCCAAGACGTGCTTGGTTTTTGGAGGGGGCATCCTCCCAGTTGCCCATCTGCCCCCACAGATGATGGAGGAGACCTGGACCATGCACTTGGTCCAGATGGCTTTGCTTCTTCCCACTTTCTTCTTTATCTCCTTGACCGTGGTAGGCTTTGGCTTGGAATGCTTGTATTGGTCAGTCAAAACATCAAAACCAAAGCATTTCATAGAATAAAATTACTGGAATGGTATTTTTAAATTCTTCATATTCTTTACAAAAAGGACTGAATGGAAACATTTCTCAGTTATCAAGATGTTTTCTCTGGTTATTTTTCACTGACAGAAAATCCTGTTCCCCGACTTAAAACAACTGTTTGTTTAAGATAATCTCAGAAACGAGCAAAAAAATAGTCAAAACAATCCTCAAGATTAAAAAAACAAAAAAATGGGAAAGAAAAATAGCAATCATTTACCAGGAAATGTTCCTGAGCTTGTAATACAAGCTTTAATGAATAGTTTGAAAACCATTTGAGATGAACCTTTTCCCTTTGCTACTGTGACAAAATCTGAAGAGCTACCCCACTCAGCTGTAGCCATAGAGGAAAAATAAATGCCGCCTTTGTTTTCCTCTTCGGTTTGCCAAAATTATAGCTAAGAATATTTGGGTGTTGGCTCAAACATGAGGAGGAGAGGAGCTGCCCTTCTTTTGGAAGAGGTAGTATCATCTTCCTTTCTTCTCTCTATTATTCAGTCCACTAAAACCTAATTATTCTCCCACTGAAATTAGGCAGTCGCCTACTGCTTCCTCGGTGGGGATGGGACGAGTCACCCTTGCTAATGTGAGGAGGTTATTTTAGCCTCCTGTCTGCAGTTCACGCCCGAAGCAAGAGAATGAGGCTCCACAACCGACAGCCCAGGCTTGTGTCGTCTCTTATCTGGGGACACCTTGGTGTCCCGACTTTAATGGTGGGGAGGGGAAAGCTCTGGAAGACTCTGGGGCTTGCTGGGCTTTCAGCCCTTCGAGGCTGGGAATGTCATGCAAAGCCTGTTCCTGTTTCGCCGGGCCGCGAAGGGAGAGCAAGCAAGGGCAGGACCAACTGGTCGAGTCAACCAGCAGGAGCTGGTGAGGACTAACCCCACGTCCCAAAGCTGTGGCTTTCTCCACCTCGAACAAACCGTCATTTTTAGGAAGAGCAAAACCCAATGAGAAGCGGCCTCTGAAACAAAGCCAAGCTGAGTCGTTCTGGCTATGGATTGGGAAGGGACGGCCATGCCTCCTCGTAGCCACAAGGAAGACCCAAACCTGGAGCCACGGTGGTTCCTGGACAGCCGTCCTGTGCGCGCTTGTGGCCCAGAGGGTCGTCTTGAAACCGTGCGGGGAATTGATGACCTTCAGGAAATTCACTGGAGCTGCCTAATGTCCCAGCAGGGACTCTAAGCATGGGGGTTGCCTTCTTTCCAAATTACATTTGCAAGTGGTGAATGCACCAAGCTCAGATGCAAAATTACCTGCCGAGGTGGGCTCCGTCTCATCTAATTGGAGCCACATCAAAGGTAGATAAACTGCTCGAGTGGGTTTCCTCGTTTGAGAGAGGGGCTCGGGTGGAGGACTGTCCACCTCACCTAACCCGAGTCTGACACGCAGACGGTCAAGGTTAGATGAGACAGTTTCTGCTCTTAGCATAGAAATAACATCTCGTGCCCTTCCCCAAAGGTGCTTATCTTCCTCCTTGCGTCAGTCTTTAATATTCACTTTTTTTAGGCTGCAATTAGAGTTTTGCCCCGTGAGAGCGGAGAGATTAGTGGTGCCGTGTGACCTGTAATTCTTCATGTGCTGGAGACAGGGAGAACTTCACTGTGATAATAGCGTCTGCAAATCCAGCAGATGACAGGCAGGGTGTATTCGTCTGAGGACATGCCGGTGTCTCGCATGGTGATGTCTGCGTTTGCACTAATACCCCTGCCCCGGGCTGCCTGCAGAGCCAGGAGAGATCTAATGGATGTAGTCAGTAGAGTCTAGAGCTTGATGTATTTCGTGCTCAATTGGGTGCCTGTGTTTGGTCGGATGAATCACCCCATGGAAATCTTGGTTCCTTTCCATGAAATGAGCCCCCAGCCACCAGCTCATGTTTGAGCTCTCCATGGGAGACTTCGAAACTGAGACAAAGTCGATTCCACCCCATTACGGCCAAGAGATCTCTTCACTTATCCCCTTGCCTTTTAAGTCCTGCAAGGTAAATGTCACACTTTGTCAGCCCTGATGCCACCAAAGCAAAGGTTTTCGTGTCTGAAATACCATATATGTGCATGATATGACTCTGGCAGAGCCCAGCCCTGATGATGAACCCGTTGAGCCCAGAAGGTCGTCATCGACACCTATCTTCCTGCGACTGCGGTGACATGGAAGGATCAAAGAAATAGGTTGTTCTGAGGCTGCAGTGGTGAGTGAACCTACAGGTTGTCAAACTCATCACAGAAGACATCTTACAGTGCTCAGAACTGTTTTGGGGGTTTCTGGCAATCTTTGACATCAGGTGTTAATTGGGCTATAAAATATCTTACAGGTGATGTGACATAGGGAGGTAAAAACAGAATAAACACCATTGGACTCTACTGGCATCTGAGTCCCACCACGCTCCAAAGTGCCTAAAGAGAATCAAAAGATCTGTTTGGTCCTTTCTTCCCCCCACAGACTGTGAAAGAACACTTCTTCCCCCATTTGTAATTTCTTTAAATACCATCTATGGAAAAATTCAGAGATGAACCATGTACTTTCAATGCAGTTTATTGAAGGCACGGTGAAAAGCTGGGAAGTTTGAGCAGTCAATAAGAGAAGTTTTGTTCGTGCGAGTACAAGGTGTCAACTCGGATTTATGCACCAATAACTTCCCTCGGCATTTCAGGGGTGGGGATGGGGGGGTGAGCTCTTCTAAAAATCAGCACGCTTTGAACTAGCCACCCCTAACATGCAGAAGCAAATGAAAGTAAAGTACTACGTGTTCATCTGTAAGCAAATTCCACAAAAAGCCTATGGCTGCAGTGTAACTAGCAGGTGCTTTGAAAGTTGAAATTGCCTTGTTTTAAAATTTAAGCTCAAATTTGCAGCTCAGGGTTTCTTCTCTGACCAAAATAATAATAGTAATAATAATAAAAAAAAAATAAAAAGAATAAAAATAAGGAGACGTGCTCTTTGCAGTGCCTCCTGGGAAAGTTAAATCATCACTCTCTTTTCTGAAATGCTTTGGGAGGAGCTGGAAGAAAAAGAGGTGTCTTGTAAGGAAGAACATTGTTAATGAATCTGCTCGTTATGGGAAAAGCCGGAGAGAGAAGGCAGCGCAACAAGCAAACCCTTAAAGCTGTGATAATCCGGACAGTATAAACTCAGAGAAATAACACTGTGGTGAGCACCTGCTGGAGAAGCTTGTTGGGGGTGTCTTTAGGGTTGGGGACTCTGAAAACGTGACTTGGTGGGGTCTGTATCCGATGCTAATGAACAGGGGGTTAAGCTGGGTGACAATTGTTGCTACTAGTGGGCAGAGGAGCTATCCTGCATCATCTCGGTGGTAGGACCTGCGCGTCTGGGCGTTGCTCTCCGATGTTGCTGGCTGTGCCCCCTCCCCAGCCGGTGGCCCTATGGGACAACGCATGGGTCTCTGACAACCCCGTAGCTGCCCACCACGCCGTTGTTGCACCCCACCACTTCAGGGCTGTTCGCGACCACGACGGGAGAGCCCCCCAGCTGCCTGATGACGCAGCCTTGGTTTCCGAAGCTGACCACCCCACCAGCTTGGCAAGCCCCCATCCTAGCATTCAAACCCCCGTTTCCCGTGCTGACGACCGTGCGGGCTGGGTACCCCCCGCTCCGGGAACTGAATCCCCCATTTTTGCAGTTGACCCCTCCGGCTTGGCAATAGACCTCTGGGACACACTGCTTGGCCACCGAGCTGATGACTCTCTTGGGGTGGATCCCAGCGCTCCGGGAGCTGAATCCTCCATTCTGGGAGCTGTGTCGTCCGGACCGTCTCCCCAGGGAGCCGTAGCCACACACAGCCCCGTTTGCAGCCAGCATCCCGCAGTCGTCGGGGATATTGTAGCCGCTGCTGACCACAGCTGCAAGACAGCCCATGGGATTAATTACTGAGCGAGGAAAACTGGAAGACTTTCACAAGGCAAGTTGTTTCACGAGTGGCTGAACCGACCCAACCTGATTTCCTCTAGATTCGTCCAATGTATCTGAGCCCCTGCTCCTTCCAACTCCTCCCCCGTGTCCCAGCACATCCCCTCGCGGATCCTCCCCGTTCCCACTTTGCTCATCTGGCTGGTGGCAAATTCTTTCCCAGGTCGGCGCGTTGCCTCTTGGGTTCACCAGGACAGCTCGCTGTTGCCTCCAAGAGTAGAAAAGGGTCATGAATTTGACCTTCCCCCCTCCATCCAAAGGTTGATAAAGTTTTGTTTTGTTTTTTTTTTTAAACTCAGAGGTATTTGAGATTTCTGGAAGTAAACCTTCAATGTCAGCCTGGGCCAAAATGGCAAAGGGAGGCAGAGGGAGATGGGGTAGACAGATACTCCATAAACTGCCTTTCCTAAAGCAAGAAACCCTCATGGCTGTAAATTTTTGGGTTACTTACACACGCTCACCGGGTTCCCCACACATATCCTGTTAGGGGAGAGAAGAGAAATACGCGTTATCCTGTTAACCAGTTGCACGTACATCTAGAAACCTGACGTTACTCATAACTTCCAGCCATACATCCAGCCCACTTAATCCCTTGTTGTAACACGTCTGACTATCCCTAGGACAGGAACTGTTTTTGCTGGCACAAGGGTGGCCTGGGTGGCCTCCAGCCATCTCTCCAGCCCCAGTTTCTGTGAGCCTGGGCGGATCCTGGAGCTGCAAAATTCACTTGGGAGCTGGAATTGTTCTGGCCTCTGATAGACAGGAGTAAAGGGACAAGGTCTCTGTCACCCACCTGCTCTCTTCACCCTCCAGTAGAGTCTTATATGTCGCAATCTCGATATCCAGGGCCAGCTTGACGTTCAGCAGCTCCTGGTAATCCCGCAGCATGCAAGCCAGCTCATCCTTGGCCTTCTGGAGGGCATTCTGCAGCTCAACGTGCTTCTCCCGGGCATCTTTGAGGGCACAATCCCCGCGCTGCTCAACATCACAAATGGAGGTTTGCAGGCAGGAGACCTGTCAGAGAGGAGGATAACAGTGCAGGTGTCGTCAAGGTTTCGTTTCCTAATTCCTGGACATTCTAGTTTGGGATTAATCCGCTCTTTCAATTGCAAACAGAGAAAAAAACTCACTGTCTTTCCTCTCTATCCACTTTTCAGCTATACGCTTTCCAACTACAGCCTCGAGCCGGTTTAAGTCTACTAAAGGCCAATGCGTCATCTTCCCCCGTATCTGAGCTGTCCTCCAAGACATTGCCCTTTCTGGAGACATCGCCTCTGGGCCTCTCCTACCTGCTTCTTCACATTCTCCAGTTCACACTGCAGCTTCTGTATCATCCGGGTTAGCTCTGAGATCTCACACTTGTTGCTTTGCAGATCATCACAGTACTTGCCTCTCTTATCCTGAAGCTCCTGAAACTGGAACCAAGAAAGAAGACAATGGTCATTTTTGACCTGCAGCCTGTTAAGCTGCCAGGCAGACGCCTAGGTTGCTTCTTACCCTGGTTTGGTAGAAAGCGTCAACTTCTTCTTTGCTCTTCTGAGCTATTTCTTGGTACCAGCATTCAACGTTCTTGATGATGCTTTCCATGTCCAGGTCTCGGTTGTTGTCCATTTTCACGATGACTGAGGTGTCGCATAGCTGACGATCCACCTGAGCTCGTTCCTACAGGTTGGGGAATGGCTTAGTCAGCCGTTAGCAGTTCTCAGACTTTGTAGGGAAGGAAGGGCTGGAACAAAGAGCCACACTGCTCAGCTGGTGGGTATAACAAGTCAAGAAATGTCCCTGGGGTTGGCTCAGCAGAAAATCCTCCCTGCTGGATGAGTTGCCACATGTCAGCTGCTGACCTACATGCTGACCTGCAGCAATTCTGTCCACATCAAGGGCAAGGAATTTGAGTGACTTAACCCTTGGTATCCTGTCATCTTCAGCTGCTTCACTGATGCTAATGACAGGGTTAAGCTGGGAGTTTCTTTAGCTCTAATCAGACAACTGCAATCCAGAGTAACGAGACAGACGCATCTCTTTTCTCAGGGGTAGAGTTAGGACACAGCCAATTCATACCTGGGGCTGCATTAAGAATGCATAATCATGGTTGGATTAGATGATCTTAAAGGTCCCTTCCAACCTAGACAATTCTATCATTCCATGCTAATATTATATCAACCTCATAGTTTCATGCTTTCAAGTATTCAGGGCTTGGGATGAGAGATGTCCAAGAGGGATTTTGAGATGTAGAAATTTGGAGAACCTGAAGGATGAGACAGCAGTACCAGACTCCTGGGACGGACCAGAGACACTCACCTCCTCAAATACACATTTCAACAACTCCAACTGCCTTCTTAACAGATCCACCTTCACCTCCAGCTCTTCCTTGTTCAAAAAGATACAGTCTGCATCCTGAAAGAGAGGAGATACTGTCCAGCCCAATCTCACCGAAAACATTGGAGAAACTCACAGAAGACAGAGGCAGCGCCAATAAAAGAGAAACATGTTTCAACAGGATTTCAAGAGTAGGAAGGTGTGAGAGGGTGAGTCAAGATGCCTGGTGTCTCCTGAAGGAAAGCAAAACCATGCCAACGTGACTTACAGGGATTAGTTTATTTATTACTTAGGACGTAGCTACAAACTCAGAATCGACTAATGAGTATTTAAACACAATTTTTTAATATTGTTCAAATGATTTCTGCTTTTCTGATGTCCAAGTATAAAGGATGTGAAGAGACGGTCAGAAAATAACCAGCGTCTTAGACACCAGTGTGACCTCTCCCACTCTGTCTCCCTTCCACAAATACACCCTCCCATTACACTTCCAGACTGTGCATGGGGTAAGACAACTACTGCTGTAGTGCTGACGATGTAAGCTTTGAGGGTACGTTATTTTTACTCTCTACTTTCATTTGCCTCTTTTTCTGACCCTGTGCCTCTTTACAGGCCTCCCTCCTTCTGCTCATTATAACACTTTTTCCCTGGGCATTTGCTAATAACGCACTATTTCAGCTAAGCTTTACACCAAATAAACCTCTGAAAGGTATCGTGATTCGTGTATTTTGAGCTTCTCACCTTTTTGAGTGCCACAAACTCGTTCTCCACAGTTGTGCGCCTGTTGATTTCCTCTTCATATCTGTTGGAAAAGGAGAAGGAAATGGCTGAGGCAAAGCAATACCATCAGACACGGAGACATTAACCACCAGGGATAAATAACAGCCTTCCCTTGCTCAGAGACTGCCATCAGGCACTGTAAGATCAGTGTCTGGAGACCAAATATTAGACCATCCCAAGATCAGAAGCTTCTTCATGAGCAACAACATTAACAATGCAAAGAGTTTGCAAGTGAGGCAGAAGAATGTGACATCCCCAAAGGGGATGTGCCACACGTCTGGGAGATGTTGCCTGAGATGAACCAGAGAAGTGGTACGCCAACAGCTAGAGGAGACCGGGAGGTCCTTACTTGCACTTGAACTCCTCCACCAGCTGGCTGGTGGCACATTCTTCGCTGCCCAGTTTTTGCTTCTCACATAGCAAGCAGTCCAGGCGCTTCCGCAGGTCGCAGATGTAATTCTCAAAGTACAGTTCAAGGTTCTTCCCTTTCTTTGGTAGGACGTACTGCTGCAGGAGGCCCCACTTGGTCTCCAGCACTTTGTTCTGCTGCTCCAGGAATCGGACCTGCAGGCCAAAAAATAGCAATTCTTCAAATAAAGAGATGAAGGCGGTAAGTTGACACCGTGTTTAACTGTCTGCCCTCACTGTGAATCCGCAGGCATAAGAATAGGATTTTGGGGAAGTGAGAGGCGATACGCCACGATGGTCATAGAATTATCCACCTTATTTAGAAATCTAAAAGTCACAAGTCTAAATTTTTCAGAAATCTAAAAGTCACATGCCTAAATCTGCCTTTCTCACCAGTGAGTAGAAATAAAGCTCCTCTGGATGGTGCCTCTGATGTATTTTAGGATGAGATTGAGTCCCCAGAGGGTGGAACCTGTTTGTCTCTGTTTTTTCTGCAAAGGGATCCTAAGGTGATGGCTCAGACTTGGCTATCTAACGTTTAGGTGCCTGAATCGGGATTAACCTCCTTTGCCTTCAGGAATGTTTTTGGAACGGTCACTATATTTAACGACAAAGGGGGAAAAAGTGTCTAATACAGGAGAGAAAGGTGAGCCCGTCGGGGCTGTAACTTCTAGCTGAGCTAGAACAAGGCTGCAATGAGAAACCCAGCCTTGACCTGAAGCTGTCCAGAGAGGAGATACCTGCAAGGAAGTCCAGTGCTACCACAGCTGCGATACAAACACCACCAAATACCGGTACATGGCTGAAATGAGCCCTTCCCCAGTCCTGAAGATCACAGTCTGAACCGACGTGGCTCTGTGGGAACCTGGACCCTTGTATCGACCCAGTTCAGGGACTCGTGCAGTCAGCTGGACTGGGGGTTTTGGAGGGGTTTGGTCGTGTTTCATTTTTCTCGAAGAAGTGCAAGCACGGGGTAGGTTTGCACTCACCTTGTCGATGAAGCAGGCAAACTGGGTGTTGAGGGTCTTGATCTGTTCCTTCTCCTGACAGCGTATTTCGTGTTCCAGCGGGTCGACCCCAACGCAGAGGGGCTTCAGAAGCCGCTCGTCGATGCAGATACCTTGGATGCCATCCGCCTTGCGATCGGGGTAGCCCCTCACAATACTATATCCCCTGGGGCCACAGAGGCCAACCCTTCCTCCAACGCTACCATAGCCTACGCCTCCGAAGCCAAATTCTCCAAAACATCCAGTACCGCAGACCCCGTTGACGTAGGAAATCCTCCTGTTTCCACCTAGGTTGCAGACGCTCCTGCTGCTGTAGGCACCAGCTCCGCATCGGCCGGGTTGGCAGGCAGAGGCAGCGTAGCTTCGACCACAAATCTCCGAAGCTGAACTGAAGCCTCTTCGTCCCAGGACAGATCTCACCGTAGGCGCCTGTCTGCTCATCGTGGCTTATTTGAAGATGGAATATGAAAGTTCAGGGGAAGCTCTTCTGCAGGAGAGGAACAGAGATCCCGCTGAAGTGCCACCGTGATGCTACCCCTTATATACATTTGGGAAGCTGGCCTTGATAGGATCAGGACATTAATTTAAAGCGCTTAAGGGTTTGGTTTGCCTGGCAGCAATAAATGCTCCTCAAAATGCAAAACAGCCCGGCAAATACTAACTACTGAGGAAATAAAAAGGAATCTAAAAGTGCTCTGTGTGCAAGTTGGCTTAGAATATATTACGGTTTGAAGTGTTCCCCTAACTTACGCTAATTATAGTTTAGCGAACATTTTTGAAGAAACTCTTTGTGATTTGTTTGCAGTGTGTCGTTTGGGGTTTTGTGTCTCATGGGTTTTTGTGTATGATGGCATGTTTTGCAGACTTGCACTTTGTGGGGGTAATTTCACAATCTCTCCTTTTTTCTCTCACCAGGCTTGTTTTGGGTGCGGAAAAGTAACCAAAAAAAAAAAAAAAAAAGAAGGTCAACAATGGAAAAACACTGTGGAAGTGGTGTTGGGATGGATGGATCATTTCTGTGCCTGAAACACCAGCAAATTCACTGAGTTATGGGTCTGGATTCATAGGCATATTTCAATTTTCTTACTCGCTTTATGTTCTCTGCAGTCAGTGACATTTTCCCTTGAGTAATTGTGCAAATTCTTAACCTGAAGTCCATTTGACACGGTCCTTGGCCCTTGCTCTATTGGACCTTTTACCAAGCTGGATGTCAGAGACCTTTTTGTTTCATCTTCTGGTAGTCTCTACAGGGAACAAAAAAGGAACAGTAGCACGTTTCAGCCTGGTGAGATCCACCCCATGCAAGAAGCGACAGCTAAAAGTTGGGTGACTCTGCCAGACACGTCCTTGACACTGGATGGAGAGCCACCTCCAAGAGAAACAGCCCCTGGGTCTGTGCTTAGGGGAACTGCGGTGATTTGCCCTCCGCAGGTGCTGGTCTTTCTCCATCAACAGGGAAAGACTTAATGAGTAGATTGTCTAATCCCTGGACACCAGGGATGGCTTTGACTCACATTGGCAAGATGAATCTCTCTCTCTCTCCTAATCACTAGCCCAAGGAGGTAAGACAGTCAACCTATCTGCCAACCATCTCGGGGCCTTCTCCAAACCAACATTTGGAAAGTCAAAACAATAGGGCTCTTTCAGCTCTTTGAGAGTAAATTGTTTGGGAGAAAAATAGACATTGTAGTGCCGACAACTAAATGCCCTCAGTCCTTCCTAACTGAAGGGGAGCAGTGCTTGGAGAAGTCTGTGTGTTATACACACAACATGACGGCATTTGGAGACGCCCAGTAGCTGTGTTCCCTTATCCTCGTTAAGCCCTCCGAAAACATTTTCTGGGAGTTAGGATCAGGCAGTGCAAATCATAAAAACAGTGTAAACCTCCTTAAAACATGAAACCTTCTAATATCAAGTTCTTAAAAAGAAGACATGCACACCGAAACCATAGGACGTGACTGCAGCACTGACATTCACAAGGCTACTAATTGGACGTGTAATTGTGAGTTTGAGGGGCTGGTGGTATAAATTAGTTGTGTAAACTGATACTTTTACCCTATACAAACAGGATAATTCCACATATTTATAGCATGACTTTCAGATTACAGCTTTGTTTATAGTATTTTAGGCTCACAGTTTGTACTGGGTTGCCAGCACAATTGGCAATATCAGCCGAAACAAATATTAGAGACTTCAAGATAACGCTTGTAACTTCCCAGATCCTTTAAGTTCCCAACAGAGATTTATCGGAAGCAAAAGGCATATTTAAATCCAACAATGAGTACAAAAGGCAATGGTTATGAGCTGTATGTAGGAAAACTGCATCCCGGACCAGAAGCCAGACTGAAGGCTGGTGTGCCACCGCTGCTTTTCTGCACCCCATAATACGCGTCGGCTGTGTGGGAGACACCTGGAACGTCGCAGAGGCTGCAATTAAACGTCTGTGAACCAGCAGGGCTGCAGCAGCCCCAGTTCCAAAACGCCTCGCCACAGCCCCTGGCTTCCTGATAGGTAAGAGATTTTGGGCACAAGTTGCCCAATATTGGGTAAAATTTCTGTGTGAGCCGAGCCCCTGTTGTTGCTCCTGAATCCCGGTGGGAAGGCGCCTATGCAGAAGGGTCACTTGATGTCTCTTAGGTCTTTCCAAGGAACAACGAGTGTTTTGCCTCAAGACTTCAAGAATTGACAGTTTGTTATTGTGAGTGTGGACATGGGCAATGGGGGAGTACTTCGAAGCCAAAGTTGTGCCTTTTTGACTCAAAAAAAAAAAAAAAAAAGAGGGGAAGGACTGAGGAAGCAAAAAAGGAAAATATTTTGATGAGGGGTTGGATGAGTCATTTTGACAACTTGCAATCTCTCCCTTTGTCAGCATTCTTCTCCCTCAATGTGCTGCTGAAAATGGAATTCATTATAAGAACATATGAAGTTCACTAATTTGTTTGTTGCCTCTGGAGTTGAATCTGAACTAGCTTTTAAAATGTGTTTTATGTGATAGTCTCAAAGAGCCGCGCTCCATCTCTGTAATTATCCGCAGCCATTGAAAACTCATTGCATTCAGACAGGACAATGGCAATAACCTGCCTGGGCTAACACCATTTGATAGACGTCAGATTGGGTCGTAACATGTGTTTTTATACACACAGTTTTTTGGACTGTGTAGACTCTTGTCTATGGTGTTCATGAGATGTTAAAGAATTGATTTGATTAGTGCAGCCTGGCTCCCTTGTATCCCAAAGCCAAAGTTGTGCAAGGGAATTAAGTCTGGTAATGTATTTTTTCCTCTCATTAGCCTACATCTGCTCTATGTTAGAAGTCGAGGCTGGGATTTTCAAAGGATGTTCCTCATAAAATTCATCAAACACTGGGCCTGGGTGCACCTTCCTCCCTACTTCAGCCATCAAACTACCGTGTATTCTAATTTCGTCTTTGAGACTCCCTCTGTGGCGAATGGAAAGAGATAGGCATCTCCAGACGGTGACTCATCGCATCCTAAAATAGGCAGCTAAGGCGGGTGGGAGGAATCCACCTCTGGAGGGACTCACCTCTCTTCTCATTGACTACCAGAGGCAGTCTAGACAACCAGACAACTCGACCAGGCGCCCCACTTCAGGATGGTTAAAGTTAGGTGAAATTAGTCCCACCCTTTGGGCGCCAAATTTCTTTAGCGCCTTTGAAGTCTTAATGAGAGTACACAACATCACACGCTCTCCAGATTCGCTGGGCTCCTGATGCGTGCATATATCCTATCTCCATGCAGTGATTAGCGCCTGTAAAGCTGAGGCTTGCAACAAAGCAAAGGATTGTTTTGATCTTTTTCATGTTGATGTCTTCCTCCCACAGGATTGCACAGTGGAAATGAATGTGGGATGTATGGGAACGCGGCCCCTGAATGGGATGGCATCACTGCCCGTGAAAGCACAAAGATTAGAAAAGGAAAAAAAAATATTGCAGCTGTTATTAGGTTACAGCAACTTCTTTACAAATCTACAGGGGCCCTTATCCCTTCCAGCTGAGGCCATTTTCTTGGGCAGAAGAGGTTCTCTGAGCCGTAGAAGGAAGGAATTGCCCATGGAAGGTGGGTCGGGGCCTCCTGGGAAGCGCCTTCAGCCGGCAGGAGATAAGTTTGTCCTTTTGTTATGCTAAAGCCCCGGTGCCCGAGCCCACGTTTTCACTTGGTTTGCACCGCTTTGTGATGTACTGCTGAATTTCCAACGGGACACCCGGTTGACTCCTGAAGTGCTGATGTTCAGAGAGGTTGGTCACAGGCTGAAAGTAAAGCACTTGCTAAATTATCAGATCTTGAAGTGGTGACCTAGGGGGTGGGGAGTTTGGAGGTTAGAAAGCAACCCTAATTCTGTGTCATTTCCCTGACATATTCTTCTCTTGCATAAAAAGTGACAGGATTGTCTATTTTCAATGGGAACACCATAACCTTTATGAGATGCTTAAACCCCTCTTAATGAGTATTTACAGCTGCTTGATTGTTCTTTTCTTGTTGAATCTTTCTTGTGGTTTTCTTCATTAGAGATTGTGCCCGGTTCCTTTCGTGCTCCTGATATTTGATTGGGAAATAACTTCCTATCACATGAGAATTGTGGGGGGAGCGAAAGCTCTTCCAGTTCTGAATCACAGTAATTGCTTCGGACAGGAAAGACCTACCCTCCAGATTCCCCCTTTTGTAGAGCACCTATCTGTCCAACTTGCCTCTGTATGGCTCGTTTCTTTGTTCTGCTCGTTTGCTTTCATCAGTTTAATCGCAAAACACTTCAGTCCTTTGTGGTTGATTTATGTTACTAATTTGTTGGCTTCTTTTTTTTTAATCTGCTCAAATGTACAATAAAATATCTCCCTTTGATCTGTTTTGAAATCCTAATCTGGTAGTTGTAGGATTTCTAAAATGATGCTGAAAAAAGCAACCAAGCACATTCCGAGTGTCTTTTTTTTTCCCTGTAATGACCCTATTGCAGCAGATTTTGAAGAGGTATAAAAAGTGTTTTGTCGTCACACCTCTGGGGCAGACGTGCCATAAACACGCAAAGGGATCAAGATGGCTTCTCTATGGGTCTTAAAACACCCATTAAACAGCGCTGGGTAGGAGCCAAATTTGGTGCAAATCAGCATAAATAAGCTGACTTTCAAAGGCTTCCAGAATTTACACCAACCAAAGACTGGATCCACAGTGAGACTCTCTGGGCAGCCTTGCCACCTCTGCTTAATTGCTAAGACTCCTAATCAGCAGATATGTCTTGTCCAATTTGGGAATTGGGCATTTCTGTGTTCTTGGCAAACACTAAAAAACAAGTGGCAACACGTTTGTTGTCCGTGCAATTTATTGGGAAAAGAGCAAAAAAGTTTAAAGCTCGCGAGTTGTCAAGATCGAAAGTGAGGGTGCTGTAATTTATGCGTGTGTCAGGACACTAAGCGCAGGAGCTAATTACCCTTTGCTGACTGCAGAAGGTGAAACGTGTGTTTTGGAACTGAGATTTCCTTTATGACTTGCCTGCCCACGTCGGGATGACCAAACTGCTCCAAGACAGCAAACAAAGAGCATGGCTGGAGTCCTGCCCCTCCTCACCGTCACGCCGTGCGTCTCGCCACCGCCGCTCCGCTGACTTGCCTAAAATCACTTCAGATGGACTTTGATGAAACGGTGAGCCCTCGAGAGCTCATTTCCAGAAACACTTCCCAGAGCACTCCAGGGAAAGGATTCCCGATTAAATATCACAACTTGTTTCAGAGACAGCAAAGACTTAATCAGGGGGGAAAAAAAAAAAAAAGGCAGCTGGTGGGAAGCAGGAGTTGAGCGATAATAAGATCAGTGCCCCAACACAACCACCAGCCCTTTAAAGAAACAGCAGAAATCAAAAGGAATATGTTTTAAGTGTCCCTTTTTTGATGTGATCCCGGTGGAGTTTCTGTGATGTGGTTTTGTGATGCTACAAACTGCTCGTACCCGGTATGGCTCTTCCTTGTGTGGAAGGTGGAGTTGAGGACATTTTTACCACTGAAAGTGGAGCGGGGCTTTCATTTTTCTACTTCAGGTGTCGTGCCCTTCTTGCCCTGACTCTCGCAGCTGGAGTTTAGATCTGGACGTTCCTGGGGCGGGGAGGTCCGGTGGAAATCCTCACCCCTGGCCAACACGGCCCTTGTGGGTGAGCTGAGTTCCCCAAACTCTTTGCGGCTCTGCAGTTCTCTGCAGTCCTACTGCAGAGTCCACCAGTGCCCGGAGGGGCTGAGCTCTGGCACGAAGGATCCCCACCTCCGGCTCTAAATTCTTCACTCCTGGGGATGCCGCTGGGAGCAGGAGGGATGTGCTGCGTGCCTGCAGAGCTGGCGGTGCTCCTGGGGGTGAATCCTCGGTGGCAGGCAACGGCATCTTCAGGTAGGGATGCTCCACCAGCGTGACAGGAGGACTTGCATCTTCTGGCATGTCTCCCAGACCCACATCCCAGATCAGCTGCGCCGCCAGAGATGGCATTGCAAGCGGTGGTGATGGCTGTTGTGGGGAAACACAAGCTGAAGCACTCATGGGGAGGACGCAGCCTTCCTCCTCCCCCTGAAAACCAGAACTAGATTGTTTAATGTTGTAAGGAAAATAGAAAAGCTTGAGCTTACTTACACACTCTCACGGGGCTCCCAAGGCGTATCCTGAAGGAGAAGAAGGTCCCAAGGTTAGCCATCATGTCCAGTCCCAAGGACTGAAGACTGGCCCACACACGGCCGTGGTGGTACCCACCTGCTCTCTTCACCCTCCAGTAAAGTCTTATACATCGCAATCTCGATATCCAGGGCCAGCTTGACGTTGAGCAGCTCCTGGTAATCCCGCAGCATGCAAGCCAGCTCGTCCTTGGCCTTCTGGAGGGCATTCTGCAGCCCAACGTGCTTCTCCCGGGCATCCTTGAGGGCACAGTCCCCATGCCGCTCAGTGTCACAAACTGATGTTTGCAGAGAGGACACCTGCCAGGGGAGACACAAGAAGTCCTTACTTTCCCTGCCCTCTTTCTTTGCCATACTCACCTTTGAAAGAGAAATCCTCGCTTCTTTTGAGAGTCCCAAATTGAGAAGTATTTGGGTTGTTTTTCAGAAAGCCAAATGTTTCCAAAATCAGCTGTCAATTCTGAAGTACTACAGAAAGACTGGACATGTCCCTGTGCTGCCAGACCAGTTTAAGTCTTGTTTCGAGGATACCAATACTTTGTTCTAATTGGAACTAATAATTAAGGTTTTCCATTACTTCCCGTTATAAACTATATAATGAATTAGATGGTCTGAAAATTATGCCAGTTTCTATGGGTGCTGAATTACTGGTGAGTCATAATTTTACCCTACTTATTGGATGCTTTGAATCTGTGTCAGAAGCATCGTCTCCTGCCAGAATTCTTGCTGGAGCAATTTTAGCAATTTTCTGAGAGGCTTTAGCTGATCCAATGACCGAATTTGGTGCAGTTAGTTCTTTGCAATAATCAAAACGATCCAACGGAGCATAGGCCAGCAGATAATCCTTCTCCCCTGTTCAGCCCTGGTAAGATCTTCTCCAGCCCAATGGAGCCAGTGTGAGGCAATGTTCTTTGCTAAAGATGAAAGAAATGCCAGAGAGATGTAGAAAACACGACCTGGGATCTCACAACTGGGATCTAGTGAGTAAATATGATCCATCATACCTGTGTCTTTGCATTTTCAAGGTCGCACTGCCTTCTCTGGATCACAAAACTCAGCTCTTCAATCTCTTGCTGGTGGGACTTCAGTTCATTGCAATGTCTCCCCTTTGCCCACTCAAGCTCTTGGAACTGATAATAAGAAAAGAGAGATGGAAATTAATTCTTGTCATGTACACAATATAGGAGCCTTGCTTCTCTTTCCAGAGTGAATTAAACTAGGTTTAGAGAAGTCCTCATGACTTTGCAGCTCCTGAGACTTCCAGCAGCAAGTGGAGCTTTCCTCCTGTAGCTTTCACCGTTCAACCACAACCTCCCCATTCCCCACGTGTCCCATTGCGCTGTGTCAGTTCTGGGGTTGTTCTCCTGACTTTGAGACTCAAAGAGTTTTGCAGAAAGCAAAATTAGGTTCAGGAGTTACATAGCGAAGACAGAAAGAAAAAAATCTCCACCTGTGCGCTGGTGCTTTTGACAGTGAGAGAACAAAGGGTATGTCGCTGGACGCTACAACCTACCCTGGTTCTGTACAAGGCATCCAACTCTGCTTTGCTCTTCTGAGCCGTGTCCTCATACCAGCATGCAACACTCCTGAGGACACCTTCCAGGTCCAGGCCACGGCTGTTGTCCATCTTCACGACGACAGAGGTGTCGCAGGGACTTCTCTCCAGCTCAGCGATTTCCTAGAAGCCATGTGAAGTGGCAGTAAGAGGTCAGTATGTCTCTGTCCCCGGAGTTCTTATCTCACACTCCAGTGGAAGTTAACACCACCACTGAGAGTTTGACCTGAGATTGAGACCAGGTTTGGTCACGCATGCAACTTGAGGGTTTGGGTTTTTCTGAGATCTCAAAGTCTTTCTTGTCTGGGATTCCCATTGCCTCCCAAAGAGAGCCTGAGGGATCGGTTTAATCAGGCCTAAATCACTGTAGACAAGGAGCGGATGGTAGGAGTAGCTGCCATCAAACAACGCTGGGACAGGGGCATCCATACCTGGGCAGAAACACATTTCAGGAACTCTGTCTCTTGCTTTAGGGTTTCTACCTTTGCTTCCAGCTCTGCCTTGGCCAGATAGACGCAGTCCGTATCCTAAAAAGAGTTTCCAGGCATTTAGAAGTCAAGATGGTGCCTACACAGAGACCTAAAGCAATTTGATTATATGTTTAGAGTAAGAAGTTTTCTTTAGGAAATGTAATTGGGACGCTCGGATACTCCCTGAGCAGCAACAGCTGAGGGGTCCCAAAAGCATATACAATATTGCTGAGCTCTTGCTTGAAAAACATCATGATTTGGGCATTAGGAGGAGCCAGGTGTCAGTTTAGAGTGAAATACGCTTTCTGTGCTGAAGGGCAGAGGGTTCATGTTTTTCTGCATCCATACCTGTCCAATGACTTTTAACATTCTCAAGACCAGACCCTTGCCTTGCAAGGAGCAGATCGGAGGGAAGTCCTTGGATCTCTGCATCCAACCCTTCCGTTCACGCAAACTCCTTACCTTCTTCAGTAGCACAAACTCATTTTCGGCAGCTGTGCGCCTGTTCCCTTCCTGTTCGTATCTGTTGGGGAAGAGGAGAGAAGAGTTGCTGGGTCATTCTGAGACTGGAGACCTTGTTTGTGGTATTTTGGGGTCAGGGTGCTTTTGGATCTCAGCCTTTTGTTAGAGAGAAGTCTAATTATACGGACAAAAATAAAAGCCCAATTAGACAAGCTGTTTGAGCTCGCTGCCCTGTGGATGGTTTCTGCTCACTCACTTGCGTCTGAACTCCTCAACGAGCTTGTCCATGTCGTTCAGCTCAGGCTCCATCCGCCCCTTCTCATGCAGCAACGAGTCCAGCCGCCTCTGCAGGCTGCAAATGAAGTTGTCGAAGACACGGCTGATGTTCCTAGGGGACGGCAGGACCTGCTTTTGGAGTAGGTCCCATTTGGTGGCCAACACCCTGTTCTGCTGCTCCAGATGCTGGACCTGCATTCAGAAAGCAAAGCCACCTCCTTCAGACACGTGCTTAGATGCATTGTATGGGGACCAGATGAACGGGGAGGGGGGCAACAAGGCGTCTGCTCTTCTGAGTCAGTGCTCCAGGGGCTCATTCTGGTTTGAAGGGGATGAGAGGAACAAAAGGGCATTGCGATCTTCATCATCCTGTCATCCTACAGCAAACTGGGCATGCTGCTCTCCCATTCTCCAAGGAAGCCCTAGACAGCACAGCCTTTGTGACAGCTGCAGAAACCACAGAATATTTAAATAGACCTGCATATCAATTGGCTGATAGTGGAAACCATCACTTATCTATAGGAGACAATGCAACTTTACAAGGTCCAGCTACACAGGCAGAAATCAGAAGCTCAGTAAGACACTTCGGAGGAACAGCTCCCTTCCACTGTTAATAAAAACAGATGCAGCTTATCAACAGCAGGACACGGAGCTGTTGGAGCGGGGCCAGAAGTGGGCACGGAGATGCTGGGAGGGCTGGAGCCCCTCTGCTGGGAGGACAGGCTGGGAGAGTTGGGGGG